GAAACAATCACATCATTTACTGTGACAGCAAGCTGCTGGCCTTGTCTCATGGCATAATCAAAACAACAGGCTTGTAACAATTAGGAACGCAAATCACCTTAATTGGTAAAGAACTGGCAAATTAACCCTAGCAAAATAAGGCAAGGCAAGGAAGAGAAGGCAGTGCAGCCTGTAAGAAGTTCACTTTCTTAAATATCACCAGACATTCTGTCCCATGTAAAAAGAAAAGCAGTTTTGCAAAATACATGAATCAAACAATCACTAGGGGGCCCCATCACCTCAATTCTTAACAGTCATTATCTAGCAACCTCTGGTCATAAAATGGTCACAAGAAAAAGAAAATCATTCAATTGTAAAAAAAAAAACAAAACAACACAAGGAAAAAGAAATTGTACAATTTAATAGTATATATCATGCAAATGTTTCTCTCTCTTTAACTGTTGACCTGGGTCACTTCAAGGAACATCTAGGCAGGTTGGAGCATGACTGCCCAACAAAGGTCCCTATATTGAGAACTTTGTCATCTAAGAACCAAAATGCTCTCCAAATGTTTAATATGTATTTATCAGTGCAACCAAAATGGTCCCAGCAATGAACTCGCTACCTATTTTTCACTCTTCACACTTTACGCACTCACCTATTTTTCCTCTCTTCCCAATTTCCCTTCTTCCTCCCACAAGATTTAAACAGACAAAGGAAATTTGATTCACATACCTTTGCTTAAAACACTTGGTATTGGAAGTAAAGGTGTAGGCAGTAGTAAAGGAGATACAGTCGCAGATGCAGCAGATTTTACCAGTGACGTATCTATCTTATTGGGTTGGATTTCATCCTTGGCACCTAGTGAGATGGCAACTGAACTTGCAACGTTTGGAAGATCTTTAGATGGTGATTTTTCTAATCTAGCTGTAGCATCATTGGAATCTGACCTTTCCTGCTGACAGCTAGTGCCCGAACTGGAAGATTTAAGCTCACATGAATTCGATTCTTTCAATTTCATAAGGATGATGCTTTGGTTTTCGTTTGATTTTTGCAGTTCAATAATATCTAATGCTGCCATGAAACTGCTAAACTTTTTTCCTTTCAACAACGCACTATAGTACTTCTCAAAAGTTCTCCCAAACTTTTGCTTGTACTCACTCTTGAATTTGGAAATATCCAAACAATGGCCATCACAAGAACGTAAAATTTTAACAACCTCTTTCTTCAGTTGATCCAGTGTTCTTAACTTATCGGTCGATTTCGAATCACTCGCCATGGCTGGTAACAATACCGCGTCAAAATACGCTAAACAATGGCAAAACCTGACAATTGCACAATCAAAACGTGCACAAATTCCCCAAAACTCTCCGTGTCAACGACTGGTAGGTTCGACGTCGATAATTCTGCCAAAATCTCGCTATATACTACGGTAAGATCTTGCATGACCATGCAAAACTTACCGGTAAATAAAAACCGCAACACATTTTTTTTAAAATGAAAACAAAGGTGTCACTTCCTTTTCCACCTTGCTCACCCAATTAAAACGCAGAAATGATTGACAATATCTTTCCAAGAAACCTCTAGGGTATACGGCACGAGGTTTCCGAGAAATACGATTTCTACCAGGCGTTCCTTCTTGACCATTGTTTTCCATTTCCTCGTTCCAAATCTTTTTCATCCGCGACAAATGTTTCCGGAGGAGACTAAGATGGCGGATTAACTGTAGTGGTACTATGGAATAGTTTAATTCCTGAACAAAGGCAAATAAGGAGAAACTGAGCGCCATCATAATAGCGGGTAGTGAAGAGAGAGATGTGAAGGTATTTAGTTTCCTGGGACGTGCAAATTTTAGATAGGCTCAGGTAGCGTATGGCCAAGGACTTTTACTTAGACTTAAATCATCGAAAACTCTTTGAAAGTGTAATGTAGTTCAACTGGAACTCTCTTCAACATAGAAGGGTAAAAAACTTCCATAGATAAGGTTTAGAACTCCGAAGGAACTTACTGCGTACAACTGCTTCAAAATTATCCATTTTGTCGGTAAGAATAATGCATTTAACAAGTTTGAGACAAAATTTGGACATTAACAACTAGTCAGGACCAAGGACAGAATGAAATCACAACAATTGCATCAATTTGTTGTGCGACATACAACTAGATACTGATGAAAACTTTGAAAAAAATCGACACAACTACTGAATTTAAAAAAAAAAGGCAAGACGTTCTTTAATCAAAGTTATGAATGATAATTGCCCCGCTAAACAAATTATATTTCAATTCATTCATCATTCATGATGTTATGAGCCTCATGATATTCTGCGCTCCAACTCAACAGTGGATCTGTTGTAATGTGCCATTTTTTTCATCATACTGTCACACTGAACAATTTTTTTTTCTTTTCCCCTTAGCTGTCATTATTATAAGTGAAAAAAAAACTGACTTCAGAAAATCACAGACTGAAATTACTCCAAATTAATCCCAGCCTCAATTTGTCATGAGGTATAATTTTGTTAAGTTTACCACTTTGTGCTGTAAAACATAAAACAAATGTCACTTCTTAAAGGCTAAAAAACAAATGATAACAGCATATAAATATGGTTAATTTTCAAATCTCAACTAGGTAATGTAGACTGAAACAAATGATCCTTTGGCTGTCAAACAAGCCGCAAGACATAATCAGTTCTTTCCTTCATTTGAATCTTTAAGGCTCTCTCTTTACAAGAATATTGCTTACACCAATAGTCCATTTTACAGTTGTGTGCTTGGTTGCCAAGCCTTTGAACAGGATTGAGGCTAAGGGTGACCTTGTTATGATACAAACCCTGCTGCTTTTCAAATGCAAATTATTTTGTTATCATGCTAACTAGATACTGGTCTCTATCACAACAAGGTCACCTTCAGCCTCACTTCAAATCAAAGGCTTGGCAACTAAGTACACAACTATAAAATGGTCTATTAGATTCATTAAGGTAAGCTGCTGGCACAGATCAGATTTTTTGTGTGTTTCTTAACACCAATCAGACTTCATATTACATGCAGATTCATAAGAGCATGATGCTCACATCAATCAGATTCATAAGAGTATGATGTTTGCTCAGGAAAAAAATTTTAAGATATGTTGCTCACACCAATCAGATTTGTTAGGTTATATTACATATATTTGCACCTGAATCAGATTTAATAGCAAAGGGTTTTGGTTTTCCCACCAGTTAGAGTGTTGCAGTTGGGTCTGATGCATTTTAAACAAGGTCTAAAGAATTGCTGCCATGGCTGGAAGGCAGCCATATTTGTGCATTATGTCAAGATGTTAACCTGCAGTGGATGACAGCACTACCGCAGTATAAGTGGTACTGCAAGTTTGCCATGCACAGCAAATATTGGTTTATTTTGTCTTGTCATTGCACATTTGGCTAAAGTTTAGAACATTTTTAGTTTATATTTACTTTCTGCTTTGAATGCTTTTTTTGTTACTTCCTTTCAGAAGCCATGGTTTACCTCATGTGTTTAAAGAGTATTTATGTTACTGATCATTTTTGATTAGACTTTGCCTCATTTTGTGATTTTAGTGGCCTTGGATTTTTTTCCATCACATGATCGTTCTTTGCAAGCATCCTGCTTTTTATTGCTTATATTCGATGCAAAGCAGGCAAAGTCTAGATGGGCAACAATTAGTCAAGGAACACTCACTGTTATGCCCAAAGTCAAAGCCTTTGAAATACAATCCTTTCCTCTTCATTCAAGACCTTTTTACTTTTTCAGAGAAAGCTGGGACTGCAAATTGCAAAGTACCTTAGGTTAGGAATTAAAGGAGGTAAATTAAGTTTTTTGCTTTCCTCTCAGCAGTAAAATTACTTAGCCTGATATTTTTAAGGCAAAGAACTGTAACATTAAATGTCAGTAAGCAAGGAGGGTATTCAGTTCTCTTTGCTTTTGTTTATCCAGAGAGGAGAGATGATGGACCAAGGAAAGTTTATAGTCAAGATAAATCAGAAAGGTTTTTTGCTTCCCATTAAAGAAATATTGTGATATAAAATTCCAATAAATATAACTCTTACATGCAAAGCCTGTCTGTGTTGAGAATCCTAAATTGGATGTACTTGAAGTAAGATGAGCCAAGTAAAAATTCGAATGGTTCAAAGAACCATTCCCACAAGATCAAAGATTGCAATGACAATCTCTCTTTAGTTCTTCTAATTTAATGGTTGAAGCTCATTAATGACCGCTTGCCATGACTGTTGTCACTTGAGTACAAATGTAAGCTTAACTGCCAAAACTTAACTACACTTGCAACCCATTGAGGTTATAGGTTCATTGGAATACTTCAGGAATGGATGTGTTCTGCTAGACATCACCAGCAAAGTTGAATGATGGTTTACAAATCAGCAGATCATATGTTTCAAGATTATGGAAAGCTATTTTTACTGTTTGTTGAAGTTTACTGAAATGATCACATCTATTTATATCATTTACCTTACCAAGAAAAGCAAACCCAGTTAAGAGTGTTTGAATTTCAAGTTCCCAGTCTCATTTGGCCATTTCATATGCAAGTGAAATCAGACAGAAAAGGACCACAAATTAATAATCCAATGTCCTTACCGAGACTAAGGAAGTGTTTCTTTTTGTTTTTGTTTTTTGCCCTTGTAAAGCAATTTTTACCCAATGTTCAAGTCTTCTACCTTGGTCTCTCCTTTGGGTTATCTCCAGTGACACTTAAATATAGAATAATCTTTATCCAATTGATAGTAAATGGACCAGAACCGTCTTATAATTCCATCATTTTAAAAGGAAAAAATTAAAAAAGAAGCCCTTGACTATGCAAGGCTCTCTGGGCCGAGAAACTTGCAGAGAAACTTGTCAAAAAGTTAATGCATCATAAACGAACAAAGGAAAAGGAAAACAATCTGCAGCCGTTTAACTGACAAATGTGATTCGTCACTCACCAGTTCCATCTTTTGTCTTCATTGACTGGGAGCCTTGAATGGCCTTAGCAAATTTTATGAAACAACAGCTATGAAAATTCATTTTATTACCTGAACCTGCTGTCTTTCCTTGTTGGTATGCTGATATTTGTTCTACGGGTTGCTCAGAGAATTTGTTACAATGTTGAAATTGTGGTTACAGATTACCAAAAATAGAGCATTTCGAAAACTTTCCTCCGATGCTCACCATGAAATCATAACTGAGCACGAACAAGATGAATAAGCGGTTCTCGTCAAAGGGGGCACTTTCACCAGACAAGTGTTACATTTTTCTCGATGATGAAGACACCAATGCTAGATCAACAACACAATGAAGGTGTTTACTGAGTCTTGAACCTTACAAGGTAAATTTTGGAAAAATTTATTCAATCTCCGAAGCATTGAAAAAGAAATCATGCTTAAGACTAACTTAACGTTACAACCAAGAATAACACAGCGAGTAAAACATTGGACAAGGTCAACTGTAAAGGTAAGCTGGTCCAAGCGATTTATAACTTTCCAACGTTTGAATATGAAGCGTTATTTACATGTTGGTGCTGTTCTACCTTATTCTTGTTCTTAGAACAATACTTAGTAGCATCCGCCTCCATAAAGCCTATCTTTTTCTATTCGGTCTTTTCTTACAAACAGAACCACTCTTAACTTGTTTTTCTTAGGGTTGTCATAGATCAAAATGTTTGAAAATACGTCGAAGAGAATCCATCATTGCTCCTAAGACGTTTTTTAAGAAGCATCTAATTTCTGTGCTATCGATCCAAAAGACTTTCCGAACTAGTTTTATACCTACAAAAATCAACTGAACTTAACGTTATCACTTGCTTAACTGTTAATATAAACGCTGTTATAAAATTTAAAATTCAGATAACCAGACAAAGTTTTACAGCCTTCTTTTCTATGTGCTCAGCAAGGTTTTGAAGACGACGAATTCGCACGTTTTTAGGTTTGCCTGCGTTAAAAACACGATAAAGATGAAATGCGTCCTGGTGAGCACGCGCGAATTGAAGTTGCTGAACCGACAGTTCAAAGATATCCTTTTGGTCAGAGGAAGTTGTCTTCACTTCAACATATGTTAATACTGGGCGGCGATCGTCGCCTCCTCTGACACCATTACGTCGAATCTCGATGTCGTAAGGCGCAGTTGTGTTTCCTTTTTCGTTAATCCAGACAATTTCCACTGAACCAGAAAGGTCACATCGCGCTTGCTCCTTAAGAAACTCAAAAACATATTCTTCCCCCCATCGGCCTATTTCTTCGCTATTAGGGTTCTCCATCAACGGAAGTCCGTGCATGGTTCTCATTTTGTTATTGATGGGAAGATCTTCGTCGTCGAAGTCATATGGACCTTTATCAAACCAGAAACGCGCACCTCTGGAAGAAGCCTGTCTGGTTAGATCTTCTGGGATGGTGACTGCAGACTTTTCTCCAGGTGAGGGCATTTGATGCGGAGAAGGGTGGATATGGATATGGCTCTTCTTGCCTCTGGGACAAAAATCGTCTCCTGCCTCAGTAATATTAAGCTGTGATTCATTTACCTCAGCACCCTCAACCATTGTCTCAGCTGGCCGGTGGTTATCGTTTGGAGTTTGGTGTTGGATTGGATTGACTTCAGCAGGATGTTCGTGCTCGGTCTTCCTTTCATCTCTCTCCTGGAGCTTTCTTGACACTTGTGAGCTCTTAATATGCGGTTGCTCAGGTGTTTTCTGAACCAAGTTAAATCGACTTGCGGCTTTCGGAAGTTTATCTATAGATTCAGGGGGCGCTGGCATAGGCCAAATCTTGAACTTGGGGTCACTTCTGGTTTCTCCTCTACGTTTACACGACTTACCATAATGACGAGAAGATTTTGGCGGCCAGGAACGAAGACTATCGTTACCTGACCTAGATTGGGCTTGGGTTCTGTCCAGGGAAGGAACATCTTCATTTGTGGCACTTCTTTCATTTTCATCCTTTTCGGGTTCCTTTGGAGGTGGAACACTCCATCGCTCTTCTCCTTCCGGTAATGGTTCCAACCCTTGCACGTCTTCCAAAAACCCTTCGAAATTATCCCCGCTGTAAGTTTTCACTGCAACTAGAAAGTTGGTTAATTCTGAGGAGCCCTCCTTTTTTCCTCCTAACAACAGTTTAGCCATCTCAGCATTTAAAACATCTGCACGCTCTTGATGTTCTTGCACAACGAAAAAACAGGACGTGATTCCTAATTCCTGTATGCCCGATCTTACTTTAAGGGGCGTGGCTACGTTGGAATGCGTGGTTAACGAGTACAAAGTTTCCAGGCTCTGAACAGAAGCGAACTGCATGTGTAGCAGTTTCTCTGCGAAGCCTTCATTTTTCAGTTTATCATATACAGATGGGTATTTTGAGTATAGGAAACGTTGCACGTATGGAATGTTTTGGTGAAAGAACTTCTGCACGGGAGTACACTGGTACTTCACTGAACCAATGGGAACCAACTCTTTCTTTATGCACCCACTTAACGCTTTTACTTCACAGATCATCAAGAATAAAGAAACAAAGTGCTCCATCTTGTCTCTATCGAATTGATGTTCAAATGCACGACTAGTCGAGCCACGTTTTTGCGGTTGAAAGAAGTCTCCGAGGTCCAGGAAGTAGACAGATTTTTCCTTATGAAAAATCTTCACCATAGCTTTATCGTCAGCTATCAGCGGTTGATCCGAAAGTGCCACCCATTTGTCAGATGTAGGAAAGATGCATTTCCGTTCACCTTGCAGAGATTTTTTCACAAAAGCGGCCATATTTTCATCGATTTTCTCTTCAACCTGTGTGCTGTTTTTGAGGCTTAGCGAAACACACTTGCGTCCCAAAGCTGCAAAGATTTTTAACATATCGCTCAAAGACGAATAAGTTGGAAAACCTGCAGCGTCAGCAACAGTCGTCGCCATTTCGATGTACTCGTCCACATTGGGGGTAAGGTCCACGTCCATTTGATCCACAAAAAAACCTCCAAGACTCTGATTGGGGCCACTACATGCATAGAAACACCCTAGTAGGCGTCTTATGGGAACCTTGCCGTGCTCCTTAAACAGTTTCAGGGATATATCTGTCGGGTCACTCCAGCACACTTCTTTCTTCAAAAGAAATGATCCTGATACTTTGCATTCTGGCCGGCTTGGGAGAAACTCTAAATGGCGATCGCGATGAGGAACGAATATCAGCGCGTTCTGCAGAAAAGCCTCAGTTATTTTCTTCCTTTCTTCATCACTTTGCGACATTTTCTCAGAGAGGAAAGAGTAAACTCTGCTCATATGTGCAATAGAAGTTTTGAAGTCTTTTCGTCGATTTCTATCCATCTTTTTGTCGCAACCATCTGACCACCTCCTCAACTCATTGATCATCCCATCTACGCCAATCGATTTTCTGATGCCTAAGGCGCTAACAAACGAGAGGCTCTTTAAATCTGCGCTAACGTAATTCACGTGATCCCCGAGTAGGTGATATACAGCGTCAGCCTTCACGAAGAGGTCGCTTGGAAGATACAGGTTCGTCCCTTCAACTGTAGAGGGCATCCACGGTTTCGAGACAAGATTGAGGTAAAATGAAGATTTAGCCTCTCCGAGAACATGGCCATTTACATCTTTAACTTGTACATAGCCCTCAGCAAACTGTGCGTACGTGTGATCCCAACGTGCATCAATACACTGAGCTAAGAACTTTGACTCATTGCTGACGAATTGTTGTTTAGTGTCGGAGGAGTTAATCTTACTGAGAAACTCCTCAAATTCTTCACACGCCCAGTCGTCAATGATGAAAAGATCATCTGGGGTTGTCTGCCAAATTCGCTCATACGACTCCCACGGAGAGCAAGCCTAAAAACAAAAACAGAATTTAACCTTTCTACCCTTTTTAAGGTATTTAAACTGTGGTACACCCAATAGCCTTTTCTTTATTGGACCAGCAAGCCGTTATCATCATAAGATTGGGATCAGATTGGTCATCAGATCTGCGGCCCCGATTTCAAAATTTGACATGGTGTCAAATACAAACAACAACACCAACAAATCGGCCGGTAGATGGACCTAAAATTAGGAAGCGTCCATCATTCATTTCCAAGTGATCTGATCTCAATTGTCTTGGCTCACCATGTTTTTTCGATGAAGCTTTACTTGTTTCTTTTCAATAGCAAGAAACTGTTTTAAGCCAAGGTCGTCTAAAAAAGTTTTCCAATCCATGGTGCGAACCCTCAATGAAGTACGATAGTCCAAGTAAGATTCGTCAATAATTGTCCACGAAATACCTAAGCAAAAGAAGAGGAAATTACATGAAGTGAATTAGTAAATAGTATCTGACTTTCTGCTGAGTGACTTTCATTAAGCTACTTAATTTATTCAAATTAGCCATACCCCATTAATGTTTATACAAGGGGATGAGGACGACATACAACACACATAAAAAAAAAAGAGCGACTCGAAGCAAATATAAAAGAACTACCACAATGATTACAGGTGACTTACTGGGAAACTGCCGAGCGAGGTCAATTGGGCCCCCGTATTTGGGGGTAAAATGAATCGGCGTTGATTTTGGGTTCAGAGTACCCTTGTTCGTTAAAATCTGTACACAGGATCTCAATTCATCCATATCACACACAGAAGGGTCGTTCAGGCGCTCTTCCAAAATGCACACTAGGTAGCTTCTCAATACTTCATCAGACTTACACTGTAAAGATCACGAGAAATATCCGTGTTAGTAGTAATTCTTGACCCCAACTGCCAGAGATCTGTACCCATAAACCTAACCAATCAGTTCCAGAAAGGAGAAGTTTTTGTTAGGGCTATGATGCGTGAAGCGCAAAAACGAAGGGTGAAGCCGCGAGAGGTTTTGAATAGTTTCTCAACTCTAAGCTACGATGTTCGTTTTTTCGATTCAACCGTTTTTTTTTTTTCAGCGAAAAACCTCAAAATTCAGCAGCTAAGCAGAACAGTTTGAAAAGGTGACTACAAAGACACACGATCGATGACGCGAAACGAACGCACAAAAAAAAAAAAAGGATACTGCAACTTTACGAAGTAAAATAAAGACTGGCACGGAAGCCTTTGTGTCCAACGGTGTGCTTCATATCACCGCCAACGTGTAAGAAGAGGCACGCATGTCATAACACACTTACAAGATGGCACGCCATCGTAGAACTAAACTTAAGACTACACGCTCCCCTTGAATTTGAAAGTAAGAAGAGAGTTCATCTACAACTATTGTACCTTCCACTGCTTTGACTTGAACACTGGGATAATGTGATTGTTAATGACTTCTTTTGGAGTCCACATTCTTACTCCTAGACGCCTTAAAAGCTGCTCGACTTGAGAACGACCAATATCATCAAGTGCAGATAACAGTGATGGATGCACTGTTGGTAGGTCTTTCTCCAGCACGGAGAAAATTGTTTTCTCCTGATGCACGAAACCTAGAATTACACATGTCCCAAAGTATATGCATTAACGACAAGAAAGTCTAAATTATTTCCTAGCAATGAGTAATAGTACTGTTGTCAACGCCATTTCTATTACTTGCGTGTCACATGTTTGTCAGGTTCGTTTTGGGTCTTGTTAGCATGATACAACCATGTAGAAGTTTGCATGACCAATTTTGGTCAAGTTGGGTTTTGAACGTCTGTTTTGGCATTGTGCCCTGGATGTCTGGAGCACAGATCACGACCTCGGTATGGATTATAGCTAAACTACCACTTTGATTTAACACTAGATATCTAATAGCTTAAAACAGCTTGAAATATTTATCAGAAAGCTCCACGTGACAGATGAATGATACCATGCATACAAAATACAGACTTTTTCCTTCACAACGAAAGGGATGTAGGACCCACCTTTGTTCTTCTTTGGCACAGCTCCCTCGGATGTTTTTTTCCTCGACAGCGGAAAGAAAATGGAATCCTCCTTCACGTTCACGAAAGATCCATCCGTTAGCGGAATCACGTTAAGAGAACCAATCAAATCTAGCATTTCTTGACTGCTATTTCTTTCCTGCTCGAGACATCGGTACATGCACTGCAACCATCGAGCTACCCAGGCTATTCTCCCAACATCCGGTTTGCGGTCATTGCCATGCGGTGCAACAGCTGGAGCTTTCTTTACTTCCGCTTTCCCAATCTCAATCAAGTGCTTTATAGACAAAGTCTCGATTCCAAGACGAGATCTCAAGGTCGGGTTTAGTACTGGAACCATTTCCGGATGAAGGTAACTCAATCCTAGGTGCTCCTCCAGAAGAATAGAGGGTATAAGCTCTTGTATGACGCTGTCTTCACAGACAATGGCCTGACAAGGGAGAACCAAATCGCAGCTTTTTCCATTGTCACCTCCGTACGGCTGCTCAGTTTCATTGCTGGACCTCTTAACTGGGATACAAGGTTTCCCTTGAAGGAGTGTTAAGATATGGCGAGCAACAGGTGTAAAAAAGTCGAGAATTTCCTCCTCAAGAGGTACAAATTTAAAATACGACACCAATGAAGAAAGGCCACAAAAAGACGAGTGGTCCTTCAAAGAAAAGAAATAAACATCTTTTACTTTAGACGTTAATGATAATTGTACGACATCTTCGTGTAGAACATGGCAAATTGGAAGGTACTTTCTCAAAAAAAATCCTCATAGCTGATAGCTGCAAAGCTCTAATATTTGAATTAGCACAAATTGCAGTTTCTCGGCTGAAAATTATTAACACATTTGAATATTTGTCTTTACTCTACGCGCTCAGTTACAAATTTACGTTTTTGCCAGTACAACGAACAAATGCAGCTAAGAAGACGACAGACCATGGTTCATTAAGCGTGGATCACTGCCACGCATATGTATGTAAGATGAATGAAGATCTTCCGTGCTTGTAAATTGAATTTTGGTCGAGCTTAAATATGTAAGATCCATGGTTCTAAGCCGTTCACAATTTGATTCGTCCCGAATGATAACGTGTTCCAGTTTCATTATGCACTTCTCTATGAATTTCATTTTCAAGTTACGCTAATGACAATCCCACACAATCAGAGTAAAGCAGAAGGAGAAAGATTTATTAAAAACTAAATAATTTGTGCCCACCATAAATACCGACATAGCGTCGATAAAAAGTTGTGGAATTTCCTCTCTCAGCCACTGATTCCAGGATTTGTCACTGTGCACATCTTCTCTTGACGAAGGAACCTCAAAGTCACCTTGAATGATGAATCGGAAACCATAGCTTCTGAGTGGAAGATACGCAAAGACATTCTGTGGCGGCAATGCCTGTACAGGGTAAAATGTTCAATACGTAAGCTGGTCCAAGAAAAATGACACTCCTGTACGAAGCACTGATTGATTTATTGCATGAATAATAGGTCGACGAATAAAGATACAGATAGCTAGATATAAAGATATATTTAACAAATAGATTCCAAGTTGCCGTGCGTCTGTTCATTATTTATTATATAAAACAAATAGATTCCAAGTTGCCGTGTGTCTGTTCAGTAATAGATCACAGAGGACATCAAAATGTGGTAAGTACATCAGTGACACACTCGGCTGCGCCTCGTGTGCCACTTTTTTGTTCTTACCACATTTTGATGTCCTCTGTGATCTATTACTGAACAGACACACGGCAACTTGGAATCTATTTGTTTTATATGATAAATAATTAAAATATATGGAAAAAAAGTTTTAATGATGACGTCATCTGTACGTCTGTCCTTCAATAGATCATAGGTGAGAACCAATCAGAATGCGTGCATAACTGAGCTTATCATATAAGATCCAAAATTTTGATAGGGTCAAGGGCTACGAATTCTTTAAGCTATTTGTGTAGTCCGTCTCAGATTAGTGCCTCGTCTTGAAACAATAAAGCACTCTCTAGTGCATGTTATATTAAGCAAAGATATGTTTAAATACTCTGGATCACAACTCTTCCCCCCCCCCCTCCGTACTCATTTCTACACTTAGAGAAGTGTACAGAGCTTTCTTAAAGACTTAAAGTGATAAAACGATACTTTACCTGATGTCTTGATGTGTTGCCTGATTCACCAGTCAATGGAAAAGCCAGTGCCAACTCAGTTATCTCTACGTCTGCTTTCATCTGGAAATTACAACGACAAACAAAAACAAAGGTAAGACGATTTGCGTTGGTAATCACCTGTTACAGGAAAGTATGGAAATTCATTGAAAAACAATCACTATTTTCTCTGAGGCAACAGCTACGCTGCAGAAGCAAAGAAATCGATAATTACAGCAACGGCAAAAACAAAGGAAAATAATATAAACCATTAGGCCTAGTTCAAACGTCGATCTTTACATGTACCGAACCTAACGTTTCTATTAAGTACATGTAAAGATCGACGTTTGAATCAATTAGGATCGGCAGATTTGTATTCGGATCGACAGTGCCGTTCTCTCCGACTCGGCTAGTCGGATAGAACGGTAAAAGATCGACATTGATTCATACGTCGTACTTTACATGTACCGAACTTAATGCATACATTATACATACGTTAAAATAATTATGTTTTACCCACAATTCAAGAAAGTTCGCTTACGTGCCATGCGCGAAAGCCTTCGAACCATTCAAACAATATGGCGGGAAAGGAGGAAGGCTCGTGCTCCTCTTGTTTTAAATCCACAAAATATACCTGTATACCCATTGGTAGGCATTAACCGCTGACTACAATGGAGTTATGTTCAGTTTTGCAATTAGGATCGACTAAATTCGGATCGACGTTTGAATCAACTGCTGCTCTTAATTATTCGAGTCGACCCAAATTGCAATTAGGTTCGGTACATGTAAAGATCGACGTTTGAACTAGGCCTCAGCTACACTCCACACGAAACAATTAAAGTATTGATGGTGGGTGAATTTCCTGGCATCACTACTCTAAGGAAGGGAGGGAAAATAACCCAAACAACCTGGCTTCTAACAAAGACAATGTTCCATCATTTTCCCCATCCCCTCTTCGAATAAATATGAATGATACCTCTGACCCGTTCTTGCCCGCAAAGACAAGCAACAAGGTATGCTAAATGCATAAAGGGGGGTAAGTTTCTAAAGAAACTGTAGTTCTGCGTCGGTGGAAGAGTGTAACTCGTTAATTTACGTTATCAACTCAGTTGATACTACCAAATTACCCTATGCTAAATGCGTGTTTCTTACTCTAGCAGCCTCAAGCTGTTTCTTGACTACAAGCCAGCGCTCTGTGCCTGTGTTGTGGAGAACCTCCATGACATTATCTCCTAGGTCTCTTCTTAGCATTTTAACAAAACTCTTGTTTACCTAAAGAAATGCGATTGGCAAGCTTACGTAAGCTTCTGGAACATCATACCTTTTCACAAAAGTAATATAGAAGGGAAATTCAGATGCTTAATCGTCCACAAATAGTTTTTGGTCCAAAGAACGAAGTGATCGGATTGAAGAATAAGTGAGGGAACGGCTAAAGTATTAAACTCGTTTGTTATGTCAAGGTTGTCGCATTAAGGGGAACGTCGCACGGCGGAAACTTTCAGGGCCGGTTATTTAAACGAGGTCTAACCCAAACCGCGATTTTACGCAATCAGTGGACCTCAGGCTTTCGTTGATATAATTAACTAAATTTCCTTCCAATGTTAGCTTTCCGCCCTCTTGAGACTTTTCAATCACTGTTCAAATAAAAAATGTAGCTAAATTGAGGATAGTTTAGGACGTGGTTTTGTTAAACAACGGCTAAATTTTGTTTAAATAACCGGCCCTCATGCTTTCAAAATTATCCCATAAAAAAAAAATAGAATATGCTGAGGAAATCAATCGAGTGTGTCCTCAATAAAGTATCTTCTCAAAGGAAAATAAAGTGAAGTAGAGTTGACAGTATGAGCAACGACGTCCCTCGCATGTGACACTTTAACCAATCAGGAATGACCAGAGGAGGCGAATACCCTTAACAGAAACACTTCCACGGGCGTTCTTGCACTGGTCACAGCTTTTCCCTTGTAGTCAGAGGTCGGCTGTCGCCTTACTGTCACTTTTGTCCGAGTATTTCAATTCTTTACTTCAGACTGTATTACCCCATGGAGAAGGAAGAAAGATTTATTAAATTGGTGCTACCTACTAGCTTTTTTGGCAGATAAAATAAGCTCACAATTTCATATAATTCACAAACAAATTCATCTCCCACCTCGTCGTATATAAAGATTCCCTTCAAACGATGTAAGAACAGCAATAAAGATGGGTGAACATCGTGAAATCCGGCAGCGAGTGAAGACTTTTTGTTCCCTTTATGTTCATCTTTTAATGGAAGAATGATACAGGTTGGCCAGCTACCAAAAAGAAAAGAATCACGCGCATGACGCTCAAGTAAAAAATCAATTATAAATAATATTAATAAACTTTAACAGCAGAGGATATAAGGAGAGAAAACAAGCCACGACCGATTAACAAGCTCCAACGCATCTATTTATGGTGTGGTGCTACATACTAGCTTTTTTGGCAGATAAAATAAGCTCACAATTTCATATAATTCACAAACAAATTCATCTCCCAGCACATGAATTCACCTGTTCATGCTTTCGCCAATGTTGCTCAATTCACCATCTTTATCCATCTTTTCCATGACTTTCGTTCCTTCTTTGATATGCTCACCATTTGGTTTCACTGAAAAATTGTCTCCAATCCACTCAGGGAGAATATGACCAATAGGACCACTTTTGGCGTCAAAGCGAATATGATATCCATTGGAGTGAACTTCAGGGCTATCACTAACTCGGAATACAGACTTGAACCCGATGCCTTTTTGTCCTGAAACAAAGCCATATCGAGAACATGTTCGACTACAAATGCAACGAGAGAAAAGCGCAAAGCAGGCGACCATTGGATATAAGCTCTTTCAGGGCTTCTTGCCCAAATAGGAAAGTCAGAAAGATATTTACCATGCAACAAATACGTAAATACTGCACTAACCGATGTATCCATAGCGATCCGCCCCTTTGGTACTTCTGCCAACATCACACAACGCGCGTATATTCTTCTCAACAAATCCAACTTCGTTGTTCAATATCACGATCCTGTCCCGCTCGAGGACGAATACAAGGGTCGGGAATCCTGGGCCACAGCACACTTCAGGATAGGAATTATCGTCTGCATTCTGAACGAGCTCCAACAAAAAGTGGGTGTCCCTGGTATAAAGATCGGAGGAAAGACGGTGTAAGCCACGACCCTCTCTCTCGCGGTGTCGCTGAACAAGTTTGGCTTCCTCTTTTCCAAGCTCCAAACCGATTCCAAAATCCTCACGGCGAATTTGTTCAATTATTGCCCTGCATTCCCTGTTAGGTGTGCATGGTCCTGATGGTAATGCTGACAATCCACCCTTAGTGTCTGAAGTTGCTGCTGGGATTATCGAAAAAAGACTATAATCACGATCAGGGATCACGCTTTCATGAAAAACTTACACCAAAAAATTATAAGTAACTCATAAATAAATTCGATAATGATCAGATAACAGTCCGATGGCCACTTCCAAAGTAATCATATGACTAGAAGGCGTGGTAAACATACCTTATAGACTGTAGATGAGAGGGGGAAAGTACATTGAAAACATAGGAGATGAAAACAAAGGAAGTGACAGGAGAACGGGAGGGGCAGCATAAAAAGCTGGGAGTAGATTTAGGAAGGAAGAAGGAAGGAAATATAACCAAATAAAAGTAGACAGTTATAAATACCTTCGTCCCCATCCTTTTCATCAAAACTGCATGCTTGTGGGAAGATTGTTTTAAGGTTAGCAGCGGTCTAAAAAAAAAACAAGTAGGAAAGCGGGGTGATTTCGATTGTCTTTACTATGAAACAGTTCCTCTGTATACCATGACACACTTTTACGACAAAATGAAACGCTCAAAATGCATTTAAGGCTACAATTTTGATAACTTTCTATAAATATCTAAACGTAAAACATAGTGGTACTGTACACACTTCCGCTTGTTGCGACACCAATGAGATAGAAGATGCCACGGGCCTAACAGCTGTGATCAATCTCTTGCTTTCGTCATTGTAGTGCTCATTAAAGAGGACACCCTCGCTGTCCCCTTTGTCATGAGAAACTCTTTCCTGGAAGTCCTCTATCCACTGACTTATGCTAAAGGCAAATCCCAGCTGGTGAAGACGGTTACGTTGCGACTGAGTTGAACAGCTTGAAAGCAGCAGCGACGCCGCTCTTGTTGAACCAACCAACTTTTTGAAAGGCTCAAGAAAAACCTGAGAAATGCAAGTACAAGCATGAAATGCGTATATAGTATCAATCAATTGCCAAAGTAATACGCGTACGTGCTTAGAACGAGCTTATCAAGATTCACAAAGGAGTTTTAAATAGCGTTAGGAGCTGCAGCTTTACTTGAAGTATAAAAACATGTCTCCGCATCGTTTCCGGAGGCGTGTTACTTAAAAGTTCCGGTAACTATAGGGCCCAAAACCATATTTCAAAAAACTAAATCTAAGAAATAGTAATGAAGGTCTTGTCTAATACTTTAATTCATAAACTATTCCTGTCTTGGTCTCGAATTGAAACACAGCACACAAAAAACAGGATAAACTTAACGAACGAGCAACAAAAGAACATAAATAAATTTTCGGGACAGGTAACTACCGAGGCTTTCAAGAATGGGTTTCTGGACCGTTAAAGCTATTGTTTCGCTCCGTTTCCCTACCACTAAGACCCCTCTCCTCTTTAAAAGAAAGGCTTACAAAATCCGATTTTGCTACCGACTCGAATAACTTTGATATGCCCAGGAAAAGAAGGGAAGGAGGGGCAGGGCAGAAAGGGGAGAAGGTGTCATTGTTTCAGGCCTTTGGCCAGTGAGCTACAAACCTTTTTCCCAATTGCCTGAGCCAATCTGAGAGGCATACGATTCAGACATTCAAGAACAAAGGTTGGACGTTGATCACAGTCCCCCTCATCGTCAGTACCCATCGATGCCAAAGAGGAATACACGTAATTGGCTAAAAGAGCGACAGGAGTGTTAGCCACACCACCATTCACTATAACTATGGAAACCAAATGGCCAGCTGCTCCAATCACATCCCCACACAATAAACATTTCCTGAATATTTCTGTGGACGTGTGGGTAGTTACTCTAAGGAGTACACCAGGATTAGTTTCCATGACGACTAAGGAATTGTGGCCCTCTGACAATGACTTTTCAGCACTACATAAAATTCCTTCATTTTCCAAAAATGACTTCAAGTCGCCAAGTTTAGACACTTCGCCGCCGAATACATCATCCCAGTGAGTCCAGAGGGAAACATCCTCGAGGAGCGGAGTGCTTTGTATGGCATCTAAAGCTTCCTGTTTGCTCTTATAGCCTAGAGCACTGCGAGTACTAAAGCTGGCGCTATCTTCGTGGAAAGCGCCAGCGCCGTGACACAGGAGAGCGACTTCGTAAACTGTCGTTAGAGTTTTCACTCTTGGCTCCGCAGCTTTTTTCAGTAGGCACGAAAAAGAACCAAATCCGAGATCCGTCACTTTGTTAACATTGTAGTAACCGCACAATTCACGTTCAATACACTCCTACAAATAAAAAGTAACAACAACTTTTGACTGGATTATTCGCAATAAAACAGTATAGGCCCACGTAAAGAATTACGTTTTGTAGCGACCCCAGCGAGTTTTCGCTTTGGTATCGGATCCTGAGCATTTTAAGGTTACATTGTGATTATTGCAAACTGGTAATCTGCTTCATCCTCGGCCATCTAGCCATCCGTGGCTCTTGCTCGTCTCTTTGTCACGTTTTTAAATCTATCTTACTGAACTACCATTCTTTGGTTTCCTTTACGTAGAAGGTAAATTTATCCGTTGGGAAAGAATGACTGATCATACCGGGACTACCTAAGACTACTTATTTTTTCTGAGTTAAATACTCTGGAAAGGAATTGTGACTGTGGTGCACCCACACTGAAAGCAGACGTTTTATGCGTAGCACCTCATTCATGCACCTTATTAGTATCATTAGGAAGCAAAACTTACGGTAGAGGTTTGAGTCCCACATTGATATATAAAATCCAAGACACTATTAAGCGGCACTTGACAACCAATCCTTGCTCCTTCTCTTCTAGACTGGGCCATTCCGCCAACCTCTTCTGTGGCTTTCTTTAGTTTCTTGTGTTTTGTTAAAAACTTCAGAAAAGAGCCATAACCAAATTCTTCAAAGCCGGTAAATCCTGGGAATTTGTTCACGACATTCGCCTCAATTCTTGCCAGCGTCGTTAGGTCAACACGTTCGGCACACTTAATCCACTCCTGCACTTCACAGACAACGGCGCCTATTTCACAGATACGTACAAACAAAAACGAGCAAAAAACGAAAGAAATTATTTGAAAATGTAGTTGCGTCCTTTTTTCCTCTCATAATATATATATATATATATATATATTTTTTTTTTTTTTTTTTTTTTTAAGCGAAGGAAGTCTCCCGTGGTTAGTTAACCACAAGGGATGGAAGAACAAAATTTAAGCGATTGACATGGATTGTAAGCGATGAATCTGAAGAGCAAAATTTCCAGATATGAAACCCTTTGCTACTATAGTTCATTGAAGGTCATTACATCAACAAAGATAACTTCGTTTTTCAAAATCAACAGGAATAGCAAAATCGAACCTCCCGAAGCTTGGAAACCGACGATCAAACCATACAACCGACTTATAAGGACCTATGAGGGAACACCATCTAACAACCGGAATAATAATGAGGATTGAAATGCACCAATAGCAGCGTACCAACGTGCTACAAATTGCGACACGTAAACAATCGACCTTATCGCCTGATGAAGACTAGCAGTATTGCAGTCGAAACATCGCGATTAGCATCAAAAGTGAATCTATCGTGAAGCAAACGAACAAAGTTTGTCTCCCATCATAATTATACTATGAAACAGCATAATGATCCCAATAATAACGCAATGATATTAATATTAAATGATAATCGTCATTAACAGCGAAACAAAATAAACAAAACAAAAAAAAGAAATGAAATGGAGAAAAAATTAATTAATTAACCTTCACTGGGTGGGACAGGCCTTGTCCTCGTTTTCTCGTGATTTGCTTTACGGTTGGCAACTTCTGTGTTGATCTTAATGTTAACCAGTTCTTCCATAGCCTCTCCCAGTAAGGGCTTACAACTAGCACACAGCGCCAGCTGAAACAATTGCCTCCCAAGTTTGTGCTTGGTAAGCATGGTCAGAAAGGTCGTTACCTTTCCCTGACAATTTTCGTCAAACATTTCCAAGCAACACTCGAATACTGCCTTCAGTACATCCGTCGGAGATTTGTCAAAAAATTTCATAACACAGCTCCTTAAATCACCAAGTTCTTGCCCGAGAAGGTCTCTCTTGAATTTACGCAAGCATCTTTGAATTTCTTCCTCCATCTCGATCGACATTTCTTCTCTGATAGCTCCCCACCTCTTGGTCTTGGAATGTTTCACTTTTTTAAGCATCTAACGAATTAAACAAAGAAAAATCAACCATACGTAAAGATGAGAACCAACATTTCAGTCACTCACTCACTACAGTATACTGCATTCATGTGTTCATAGTTTCGAAATGTGCTCTTTGAAATAACATTACCGCAACAGCCAGTCCAAGGCTTTGTATTCTGACTCCCAGCTCGTAAGGAGTGTAACAATGATACTGCTCACAAAGATACTCCAGGAATTTCTCTAAATATAGCGTTCCTTTCATCTTTGACATGTACTTGTTCAAGTGCTTGATAATTTGAACTGTCGTCACTTGAGGTACAGCGGTAAGACTCTGGGGTGCTTTAAACATGTTATACACCACGGGTTGTTTTATTAGAGGGCCCAGTCGGAGCTCTTCGAAGTCTGATTTGGAACCCAAGGCGGCAAGGCTTTGGTTTAATTCGTACAAGGTTGCTATACTGTTGAATGTGACGTAAGCATGGACGAATAAGTTAACCTGTAGAACGCACGAAAACCATGGAATAGATGAATAATAATAATAACAAAGATGATGATTTGTTGGTAACGTTTGTACAGAGTTGCTCAACATTTACCTATTATCTGATATAATAAAAACAAAAGAGGAGAGGAAAAAATTAATTAAAAAATACAGTCAAACCTATATAAAGCGGCCACCCACGGCTTAATACACAAGGCTCGAAATAATATCGCGGTTGGCACTTGTCAAGTTGACCGGTCAAACTTATTTTTTCTCGGACACAACCCATTTTTCATAAGTCTCGACCCAAACCTCCCCTTGATTTTTTCACTGCTCCGCAATTATCGCACTTCGTTTTACAAACTTGGTAATCAGATCTACATGAACTCACTTTGGCCTGCATTTCAATCAAGTTCTTCAGAGCGGGGATATCCTTGTCTGTTTTGAACCCCATTTTAATAAGACTTGATTTTCCAAAATCTTTACAGAGCCTGGCTTTTACTTCTTCGAGGCCAACAAAGCGACCTTCCTCCGACAAAGAGGTGATGATCTCTTCCGCGGCCTTGTTAACTTCATGTGAAGAAGCATTCCTTACAGCTGATTTTGCGCCGCCCGTTATGGTATTCATCACGTGATGGGCCTTACAGATTGAATTCTCAAAAGGATCCGGCGTACCAACTTCTCGAATTCGTGTTTTTTCAGAAGGAAGTAGTTCTGGTTTAACCTTTACATCTGTTGGTATTTTCAGTTCAGGTTCTTTGCCTTAGGAAGAAATAAGCAAAATATCTTTTGCATCAGCTAAAAGCACTTGCCAATTTTCTTAATCATATGGTGTTACTAGCTTGTAAATATTGGTTACTGTTGAAGGTTTCTTGAAAAAATACAAGGGTACTTAAGTGTTATCAACTGAGTTGAAAACGTAAGTTGGCCACCGAAAAAGAGTTTAAAGCCTGACTTTTCGAGCGTTAGCCCTTCGTCAGAGCGATAGACGAAGGGCCAACGCTCTAAACATTAGTCTTTAAACTCTTTACAGCGGCTAATTAACGTTTTCAACTCAGTTGATAACACTAAATTACCCTGTTATACTCTCCCACACACGCAGCATCACAGTTTCTTTAGAAACTCGCCCCCTCTGAAAAAATAAAAGCAAAATTAATGGAACGAGGTTACATCAGTCTGAGATGAACCTTTCGTCAGGCAACTGTGCGACTTTTGACGACTTCTTGAGCTATAGTACATAAAAGTTCAAATGTTAAAGTTTCAAAGTAATTCGGGAGTACAACAGCTTTGCTCACTACGCTCTGACTTTGGTTCAACAAACGCTATGGTCACTTAAATGCAAGATCACACCTTTACCTCACCTTTGTATTACACCCTTACCAAGTGCATTTTCCCACGCCTAAAGCCAGTTTCATGCATTTACTTTGAGTAGTAATGGCAGTAATGATTGATTTGTTTACGTTTCACGAACTCAATGGAAACACAGTTTAAAATAATTTCACTTTTAAATCTTCCAACATTCTTACCTGAAGAGGGAAGAGGGACAGTCATCGGATTAGTAACACCGGTAGCAAAACCTTGTTTCTCTCCTTCTCGTTGGCTAGCCTCCGGGTTTATTCCAACAGGGAC